CCCCTCACAGTGTATACATGTGTATTATTGTGGCAGGCCCTGATTGACTCCATTGCCAATATTTAACAAATTGAAAAAAGAAATCTGTTCATTATTAAAGCATGTTTTTTCTGAATGCTTATAGATTAGCTAGTTTCCTTTTTCTTGTGTTGCTTTTATGACTTTTTTTCTTTTTTTTTCTTTTCATCAAGTCAAACATTTTATAACAATTCTACAGAAATCTGATTAATGAGCTAGTTACCATTTCTTGAGTCTCTTGTTGAGCATAATGTTCTATTTCTTCTGCTTTTGCCTTTAATCTTGCACCTTAAAAACAAAAACGCTTTAAATAATTCATTGTCTTTTGTGCATAGACCACATTCAAACACTTTTTTTACTTACCTAAGCAGGCTGGACTATATTATACATGGATGCTTAAGTAATTTGAATATATCCTCACCATGTGAAATATAAATTTTCTTGACATTGCCACTACTAGGTATATAAATAACCCTACCAAGTTCAGATGGCATTCATATTAGCTATGAATGCCATGGCACATATGTGGTAACATAACATTATTTTGACATCACAATGGTAACATTAGATACCTCACCCTCCTCTCAACTCCATTGAAGATGGCTGTTCTATTCATGAAACAAGTATACATGATATATACACTTATTCGGGCTAAATGCTTAATTTTGATGAATAAACTATTTTTTATGGGATTAAAGCATATAAAAATATGGTTAACAATGGTGTTGAATGCCAACTATAATGCTTCATGGAATTTGCAACATTTTAGTTGGCATTCATCGTGACTATGCTTAAAATGTTTACTTGTTTAGAGACACTTACTTTGTATCTCACTCTCACACTCAATGATGATCCTCTCTGCCCGAGCTTGAGCCTCGGCTGTGGCCTGTCCTGTTGATTCCACAGCGGCTGCGATGGCCTGTAGCTCGAGAAGCTTGCTGCGTTCCTGTTCAGAAGCCTTCTCGTTGTCCAGCTTCTGACGCTCAAGGTGTCCTTGCGCCACCTGTTCATTCCGTGCAGCCTCATGGGATGCTGCGGCCTCAATAGAGCTTAGTAACAACAGAGTACAACCATCAGTCACTCAACACACATTTACAGTAAAAGTGGACATTTTCAATGTATGAAAATGCTCTCAATTTTACATTGAGTGAAAATTACGCGAAAATATAATTACCTGAATATTTATTTAAAGATCATATTGATTATAGATATATAGAATATATAGATTTCATAAAAAAAATCACAGCACAATCAGTTTGGAATACCACAACGTGATCATTTCCACACATGCAAGTTTCTGCTTTCGCAATAACTGTAGTCCCAAAACACAAGTAAAGACAGTTGATTTATAAATTCTTATGTTTATTTTCAAATAAAACATTCAAGATTTGGTACATATTGTATTTAAGTAAGACATCTAGGATTTTTCATCCTTGAAGGAAAGGGAAAAACACTGATTTCAAAGTATTAACAATTTCCAAGCATACTTTCAGTTCCTAAAAAGCACATTAGTCAGCAAATTATTGAGCACTGAATTGCGATTTCCAATAAAATCATAATAATTATAATCTTTACCAAATAGTATTAACAAAACACATTTTAACTTTTTTAAATTTAACATCCATTATTTATCATTACCTAAGTAGTTGTCAAAATTTAGGTAAATTATTACGTATAACCTCCCAGAGGATGACTTTGTTTTGAAAGGCCAGATTCTATTTCTCACCTTGTAGATATCTCGATGGCAAGCTGTACTGATTTTGAAAGACTGTCCCGCATTTTCACATCAACTGGTTCTATACTCTGAATATCAATACTGCTAATCACCTAATGAAATGCAAAAAGGAAAGAATTGAATTCCTGCTAAAATTTCATTGTTCAAACATTACGGCACAGAAAGCATGGAAACAGCCAGTTCCTAATGTTGTTATTATCGTACTCATGGTACCTATGATTAGTTGAGGGGGCACTAATAATATGTGAGATCAAAACATGAAAATGACATTATTGCTGTGATAATGATTAAATGAGATAAGAATTCCACAGGAGTGGATGTGTCGCCTGCTATGCCGAAACACGGAAAGTTGAAACTCGACAGAAAAACCTGTATTATATGTGAACATTATTGCTTCTAGCATTACCCTACCAAATTTGAAAGGAATTGATTTAAAAATAAGAAAAGTTCTTCTATTAACTACACAATGCCCTTATTTGGTAATAAATAGGACATTACTCCACCAAAAATGCATGTAAACTTCTGAAATGTAAACTCTTCTGAGCTATATTGGTATGCATTATGTGTACGGCACAAACTTTGTTTCAGACGACGCAACCACCACCGCCGACAAAGTAAAACTAAAACCTATGTGTGGTCTAAACATAAAAACTGGTATTAGGCTTCAAGTCTCTTGAAATTTCACGAAGTTTGAACATGAGAAATGTTTTATGAGTATGAGCCCATGCCACTGCCCATGTTCAGGCTCAAACATGAAATCAGAACTTACTGAATCATGCAACACAGTCCAAAAGTAAATTCCAGACATTGAAAAAAGTATTTACGGGTAGCTTCAAGTTTCTCCATTCCTCCAATAATTATTGAAATGTGAAATTTGAATTTGATTTTTTTTTTAATAGTACAAGCAAAATAAGGCTTGAGCAGAGAATCTAAGTTTGAGCACACATACAGTTTCATGAATAAAGTCTTCCAATATATTTCAATGAAAACATACCAGGTTATTCATGGGGAACTTGAGGTGGGAATCCAAACCTCCCTCAATGTTCGGTCCAAACACTGCCGTCTTTATGACCTGAGCGGAGTGGCGATGGAACTCATCAAAGTGGACTTGTGCTACGGCACCACGAATACGACTTCCTGTGGACATAAGATAACGATTCATCACAGGTTTGTTAACAACCAGAAAGAGGGTACCGTATTTATTCACAGATAAGCCCCCAGCCCTACTGAAAAGAGATTGACCAAATGTAAGGAGGGGGATTAATTGCAAGTAGCCCCTGTTCACAAATGTCCGCCATCTTGGATATACCACTGTGTTGACCTATGACCAAACTTACATATCATGTACTTATAGTTGTTCATGTTGTAAAATATCAACCACAGCATCCAGTTATTTGCTTATGTTCAGAGACAAAAATTAACATACCTATTTTTTTTAAGAGAGTGACAAAATTAGGGAAGGGGCTTAATTGCAGGCACCCACCCTGTTAAACAGCCCAGGTCATTTGCCAAACTGGGGAGGGGCTTATTTACGAGTGGGGTCTTATTTGGGGTCAAATATGGTAGTGGACGAATGAAGAAAAAGACAAGAAGAAGGAAAGGAGAGATGAAGGGGAAATAATGAAGTGATGGATGAATAGGAAAAAAGAGGGAAACAAAAGAAATTATGAAGGAAAGGATAGAGAATTAAAGGAGGGAGAAAGGATGCATATGGTTGCAAAAATATGAAAAAGAAGAGAAAGAAAGAGAATGGTGAAGACAGGGGAAATGTGTCAGAGGAAGGTCAGTTGTAAGAAGGGAGGAAGGAAAAGAGAGGTAGGAAGGAGGTGAGGAAGGGAAAAAGAAGAGGCAAAATGTGGATGGATGAGAAAAAACAGTGCAGTAAAGACAAAATGAGAGGAAAACTTTGATGTTAGGGTTGATGAAAGATGGGATGAGAGGTTGTGGCCATATGGAGGAATGAAAGTAATGGATATGAGAATCAGAGAGGAAAGCAATGGTGAATTGGAATAGGGAGATAGGGAGAAGGAGAGGGATAGATAATGGAGTACCTGTTACAGTTAGATTACTATTAATCACATAGTGTGGTATAGATATTTTTTCCAAATATTCGCAATATATGTGTGTAGTGAAAGTATCTTACCTATCTGACGACATGCATTTCCGATAAAATCTGGGACAGAAAAAATGGACAATTCACTCTCCCTATTTCCTCTTTCAAACTGAAAGAAAGAAATATGCAAATTAACATAATCAAGAGGCCCATGGGCCTTAACGGTCACCTGATATATTTATACAGAGAGTTGATTTCGTTTTTAACATGAACAGAAATATTATTCAAAGTGACAAAAAACAATAAAACCACCTTATTCAATATCAAGCATACAGATTTCAGACTAAAAAGGATTTGAAACTAGCACCTCTGATTCTAAACAAGGAAAATGAAGAAATTTTAGCACACTGACTCCCTTGAGCCCCACCCTACAGCCCTTGGGGGTAGGGCTGGCTCAAAATTTTCAAAGTATCAAACTGTCAACTCAAGGTTATAATTCCAATCAAGTTATTAACATGTAATATTCAAA